TTCTTTGGTTTAGATTGGTTTGGTTTATTTTGTTTTACGGCACATCAACCTCAATGGGTTATTTAATGCAGTCAACATTTTAGGATAGATTCGTATGAATAGAATATGTATTCTTTGGTTTAGATTGCTTTGGTTTATTTTGTTTAACGGCATATCAACCTCAATGGGTTATTTAATGCCGACAACATTTTTAGAATAGATTAGTATGAATAGAATATGTATTCTTTGGTTTAGATTGGTTTGGTTTATTTTGTTTTACGGCACATCAACCTCAATGGGTTATTTAATGCAGTCAACATTTTTAGGATAGATTCGTATGAATAGAATATGTATTCTTTGGTTTAGATTGCTTTGGTTTATTTTGTTTAACGGCATATCAACCTCAATGGGTTATTTAATGCCGACAACATTTTTAGAATAGATTAGTATGAATAGAATATGTATTCTTTGGTTTAGATTGGTTTGGTTTATTTTGTTTTACGGCACATCAACCTCAATGGGTTATTTAATGCAGTCAACATTTTAGGATAGATTCGTATGAATAGAATATGTATTCTTTGGTTTAGATTGCTTTGGTTTATTTTGTTTAACGGCATATCAACCTCAATGGGTTATTTAATGCCGACAACATTTTTTAGAATAGATTAGTATGAATAGAATATGTATTCTTTGGTTTAGATTGGTTTGGTTTATTTTTGTTTTACGGCACATCAACCTCAATGGGTTATTTAATGCAGTCAACATTTTTAGGATAGATTCGTATGAATAGAATATGTATTCTTTGGTTTAGATTGGTTTGGTTTATTTTGTTTAACGGCATATCAACCTCAATGGGTTATTTAATGCCGACAACATTTTTTAGGATAGATTCGTATGAATAGAATATGTATTCTTTGGTTTAGATTGGTTTGGTTTATTTTGTTTAACGGCGTATCAACCTCAATGGGTTATTTAATGCCGACAACATTTTTAGGATAGATTCGTATGAATAGAATATGTATTCTTTGGTTTAGATTGGTTTGGTTTATTTTGTTTAACGGCGTATCAACCTCAATGGGTTATTTAATGCCGACAACATTTTTTAGGATAGATTCGTATGAATAGAATATGTATTCTTTGGTTTAGATTGGTTTGGTTTATTTTGTTTTTACGGCATATCAACCTCAATGGGTTATTTAATGCCGACAACATTTTTAGGATAGATTCGTATGAATAGAATATGTATTCTTTGGTTTAGATTGGTTTGGTTTATTTTGTTTTTACGGCATATCAACCTCAATGGGTTATTTAATGCCGACAACATTTTTAGGATAGATTCGTATGAATAGAATATGTATTCTTTGGTTTAGATTGGTTTGGTTTATTTTGTTTACGGCATATCAACCTCAATGGGTTATTTAATGCCGACAACATTTTTAGGATAGATTCGTATGAATAGAATATGTATTCTTTGGTTTAGATTGCTTTGGTTTATTTTGTTTAACGGCATATCAACCTCAATGGGTTATTTAATGCCGACAACATTTTTAGGATAGATTCGTATGAATAAAATATGTATTCTTTGGTTTAGATTGCTTTGGTTTATTTTGTTGTACGGTTTATCAACCTCAATGGATTATTTAATGCCGACAACATTTTTAGGATAGATTCGTATGAATAGAATATGTATTCTTTGGTTTAGATTGCTTTGGTTTATTTTGTTTTACAGCATATCAACCTCAATGGGTTATTTAATGCCGACAACATTTTTAGGATAGATTCGTATGAATAGAGTATGTATTCTTTGGTTTTGATTGGTTCGGTTTATTTTGTTTTATCGCATATCAACTTCAATGGGTTATTTAATGCCGACAACATTTTTAGGATAGATTCGTATGAATAGAATATGTTTTCTTTGGTTTTGATTGGTTCGGTTTATTTTGTTTTATCGCATATCAACTTCAATGGGTTATTTAATGCCGACAACATTTTTAGGATAGATTCGTATGAATAGAATATGTATTCTTTGGTTTAGATTGGTTTGGTTTATTTTGTTTAACGGCGTATCAACCTCAATGGGTTATTTAATGCCGACAACATTTTTAGGATAGATTCGTATGAATAGAATATGTATTCTTTGGTTTAGATTGGTTTGGTTTATTTTGTTTTACGGCATATCAACCTCAATGGGTTATTTAATGCCGACAACATTTTTAGGATAGATTCGTATGAATAGAATATGTATTCTTTGGTTTAGATTGGTTTGGTTTATTTTGTTTTTACGGCATATCAACCTCAATGGGTTATTTAATGCCGACAACATTTTTAAGGATAGATTCGTATGAATAAAATATGTATTCTTTGGTTTAGATTGCTTTTGGTTTATTTTTGTTGTACGGTTTATCAACCTCAATGGATTATTTAATGCCGACAACATTTTTAGGATAGATTCGTATGAATAGAATATGTATTCTTTGGTTTAGATTGGTTTGGTTTATTTTGTTTTACGGCATATCAACCTCAATGGGTTATTTAATGCCGACAACATTTTTAGGATAGATTCGTATGAATAGAATATGTATTCTTTGGTTTAGATTGGTTTGGTTTATTTTGTTTAACGGCATATCAACCTCAATGGGTTATTTAATGCCGACAACATTTTTAGGATAGATTCGTATGAATAAAATATGTATTCTTTGGTTTAGATTGCTTTTGTTTATTTTGTTGTACGGTTTATCAACCTCAATGGATTATTTAATGCCGACAACATTTTTAGGATAGATTCGTATGAATAGAATATGTATTCTTTGGTTTAGATTGCTTTGGTTTATTTTGTTTTACAGCATATCAACATCAATGGGTTATTTAATGCCGACAACATTTTTAGGATAGTTTCGTATGAATAGAGTATGTATTCTTTGGTTTTGATTGGTTCGGTTTATTTTGTTTTATCGCATATCAACTTCAATGGGTTATTTAATGCCGACAACATTTTTAGGATAGATTCGTATGAATAGAATATGATTTCTTTGGTTTTGATTGGTTCGGTTTATTTTGTTTTATCGCATATCAACTTCAATGGGTTATTTAATGCCGACAACATTTTTAGGATAGATTCGTATGAATAGAATATGTTTTCTTTGGTTTTGATTGGTTCGGTTTATTTTGTTTTATCGCATATCAACTTCAATGGGTTATTTAATGCCGACAACATTTTTAGGATAGATTCGTATGAATAGAATATGATTTCTTTGGTTTTGATTGGTTTGGTTTATTTTGTTTTACGGCATATCAACCTCCATGGGTTATTTAATGCCGACAACATTTTTAGGATAGATTCGTATGAATAGAATATGATTTCTTTGGTTTTGATTGGTTCGGTTTATTTTGTTTTATCGCATATCAACTTCAATGGGTTATTTAATGCCGACAACATTTTTAGGATAGATTCGTATGAATAGAATATGTTTTCTTTGGTTTTGATTGGTTCGGTTTATTTTGTTTTATCGCATATCAACTTCAATGGGTTATTTAATGCCGACAACATTTTTAGGATAGATTCGTATGAATAGAATATGATTTCTTTGGTTTTGATTGGTTCGGTTTATTTTGTTTTTATCGCATATCAACTTCAATGGGTTATTTAATGCCGACAACATTTTTTTTTTAGGATAGATTCGTATGAATAGAATATGATTTCTTTGGTTTTGATTGGTTTGGTTTATTTTGTTTTATCGCATATCAACTTCAATGGGTTATTTAATGCCGACAACATTTTTAGGATAGATTCGTATGAATAGAATATGATTTCTTTGGTTTTGATTGGTTTGGTTTATTTTGTTTTATCGCATATCAACTTCAATGGGTTATTTAATGCCGACAACATTTTTAGGATAGATTCGTATGAATAGAATATGATTTCTTTGGTTTTGATTGGTTCGGTTTATTTTGTTTTATCGCATATCAACTTCAATGGGTTATTTAATGCCGACAACATTTTTAGGATAGATTCGTATGACTAGAATATGTATTCTTTGGTTTAGATTGGTTTGGTTTATTTTGTTTTACGGCATATCAACCTCAATGTATTATTTAATGCCGACAACATTTTTAGGATAGATTCCTATGAATAGAATATGTATTCTTTGGTTTAGATTGCTTTGGTTTATTTTGTTTTACAGCATATCAACCTCAATGGGTTATTTAATGCCGACACAAATTTTTATTGCTGGTAATATTTTGTTTTGTCAAAAATCTGTTTCTGGTAATATATTTCCTTCAAAATTGTATTCCTGGTAATAATTTTAATCCAAAAAGTATTGCTGGTAATAGTTAACTATTTGCTCATAGTTGGAGACCCTAACAGGTGCTACCACCTCGGGGTCAGGTTGGACCTGGGAACACTAGCAATTAAGAGGTGGTTCCACGCTCCTTAAAACCTCCTGATCAGAGGCCTTGCTGCTGGACGTAGTTTAACGTCTTACCCAGGACACGGATATAGTTTAACGTCTTACTCAGGACGCGGATGTAGTTTAACGTCTTACCAAGGACGCGTATATTTTTGGAGTTTCATGTGATTGTAAATGGTCCTCAAAGAAACATTTTCAAATTTTGTACCATTTCTTTTCAGAGTCGAACCTCTGACATTTTTACAATTCCCTTTTTAAAATTTCCTTTCCGGCCACAGAACTATATTCATTTACGAAACGCTTGAGCCTCGTCTCTTTTTCGATATAGACGTATTGTTTAGGCGTTGATGTGATTGGCTCTGACAGATTTATTCTGGGCTGAAATAATCTATCATTCTCCAATTATAGATGTACTTTCTTCTATTGTATATATAGATCTTGCGATATATCTTAGTAAAATGGACAAGGTAATAAAAACATGAATGACATAACAGTAATTTCGTAGCAGTTGTCAAAATGGTTGACCTCAGCAGTTATTTCTGCTTGTCTTGTTATCTGGTAGTACTTTTTTTTTGATTATGCCTCACCATTTTTCTAATTTTGTTTCCATTAATGGCGGCCAGTAAACACAGGAAAAAAATATGTAATAAAGAAGACATATTCGTGGTAGCCGCGCATGCAAACCCATGCAATTAATAGCAGGGGGCATGATATAAATTGTCTAAACTGATATGGTTCCTATCAACATTTCGACCTGATGATGGCTTATTGCATGAAACTCGGCGTCGCGGAGTGGTACGTAGGAGGAGGAACAGATCTATCTATCTGAATCAGTTCATGTGTATCTGAATTCGTTCATATCTATCTATCTATCTATCTATCTATCTCAATCAGTTAATATTTCTTTCTTTCTTTCTACCTAGTATCGACTATCCATCTCTCTCTCACTCTCTATATCTAGTATCGACTATTCATATCTATAAATCTGAATCAGTTCATATCTTCTTTCTTTCTTTCTTTCTTTCTAGTATCGACTATTCATATCTATCTATCTATCTATCTATCTATCTATCTATCTATCTATCTATCTCGATCAGTTAATATTTCTTTCTTTCTATCTAGTATCGACTATTCATATCTATCTATCTTTCTATCTATCTATCTATCTATCTATCTATCTATCTATCTGAATCAGTTCATATCTTTTGTCTTTCTTTCGTTCTATCTAGTATCGACTATTCATATCTATCTAAATCAGTTCATCTATATCTATCTGAATCAGTTCATATCTATCTATCTCAATCAGTTAATATTTCTTTCTTTCTTTCTATCTAGTATCGACTATTCATCTTTCTCTCACTCTCTATCTATCTATCTATCTATCTATCTCAATCACTTATTTCTTTCTTTCTTTATTTCTATCTAGTATCGACTATTCATCTATCTAGTATCGACTATTCATATCTATCTATCTATCTATCTATCTATCTATCTATCTATCTATCTATCTATCTATCTATCTGTTCACATCTTTCTTTCTTTTTTCTATCTATCTATCTATCTATCTATCTATCTATCTATCTGTTTTATTTCTTCAAACGGATATATGTATATTTAACCTGGGGAATCCTAAAATAAAAAGGTATAAGGCCATGCCACGTTAAAACCCCGGTTCTCGTACGATCACTGAAGTTAAGCAATGTCGATTGTGTTTAGTACATGAATTGGTGACCGCTTAGAATACTACGTGCTTGCAACCTTGGACGCGTGGATGGGGTAATGGATAACGGCGCGGAATTGAAAATCGGAGTCGCGAGTTCAAATTCCAGTCTGGTTCGTTATATTCACTCAATTCCAAATCTCATTGGAAAAATTAGGAATCCACTGCTTTTCTCCTCAGTTGTTCGTAAATTACGAGAATTGTTATTATCGCAAAACCTCTTAGGATCTCGGAATATCTTTTTAGATTTATATAACCTGAAAAAGGGTGATAATCCTTAAAAAATTAATCAATCATGCACTCTAGTGTGACGTCGTCCCCTGGTCGCAGCGCCAACTGTGACGTTCTATCCTGATCTACCACGGCGCCAGTAGTGACGTGGCTGTTCCAGGGTCCTATCCCGGTCACGACACCAGTTGTGACGTCCCTAAACAGCACCAATTGTGACGTCTTCGCCGCGGCGCCAGCTGCTCGCTCCTCGCTGCTCCGTCCGGGTGTCGCTGCTCCAAACGTGACGTCCGCCTGTCGCGTCAGTCGTGTTGTCTCGTCCTGTGACGACCAACTGGCTTGGTATCGGTCGCGGCACCCAAATGTGACGTTCTAACCTTTTGGTGATTCGGGTGGGAATCTGGTTAGATTTGATATCAGCCTCGCCGTTCCCAACTCGCTTCCAACGCCTGGTTACCAAGGTAACTGCATTGATCTCCAGTCTGCCTACCCACGTTGTGAATTGATCTTAGACAGACGAGATCAAACAGTGGTTGGGGCCGTAATGCAAATTGATTTCAACGGGGGTGATACCACACAAATATGCATAAAAGAAAATAAAATGAAAACTCAAAAAGTTCAAAGTATCAAAGAAAAAGGTAACAAACTTTATGTCTAGTTGTTCGATACATAGGACTGCACCTATCTCCCGACCCGTTCTGTGGATTGTGACACGTCGTTTACGCTAGGCAAGTTTTAACGCGTCAAGTTGGTTGCTCTCTAAGAAATTTGTGTTTCGGTGTGTCTTTGGACGAAAGTCGAAAAACTTATTTCGGTGGTCTGGTCCTAAGTCGCTCTTCAAAATAATTGTTCTTGGTTGAAGAGGAGTCCGAAATTTTGCGTGAATCTTGGTCAGCTATCTTGAGGCGGCTTCATTTCTGGAAACTGGAGCTCGAACTTTCTGGACACTCATCTCTGCCGCCAGGGCCCGAAATTTCTGGACACTCATCTCTGCCGCCAGGGCCCGAACTGATTTCTGCCTGTTGGGGCCTGGCTTTTATTGACGCCGACCAAAACCGGGGTGGGTCTGTTGGCGTCCGGTGGGTTCCTCGATAATTCTAAATACATATCCACCTCTTTTATTTCTGGTTAGGGATTTTCCGCTCTTTTCCATTTTTGGGAATTTTTTCTCACTCCCACTTTCTCACCATACTTCTGAGGGACGTGAACTGCCCTCCCCACTTCTTCGTAGCAGCTTCTCATACTTATACTCTGGATGGGGGCGTCGACAGCCTTCTTCGTGCGTCACGTGATCACTCTCGGCCAATGAGGTCTTGGTCGGGTATCTTTCCTCCTCCTTCGTGCGTCACGTGATCACCACTTGACCAATGATGTCTTAGTCGGGCGTGAACAATCCGCGGCTTTGTTTCGAAAAAAAATATCTTGCTTAACTAAAAAAAATTATCTTTTGCTTTTCTTTTCTTCCTTAATCGCCGTATCATTTCTCTGGCCACCAACGGGAAAAAATATGAACAATGGGGTCATAATTCTTGTTCTACACGTGGCTTACGTCAGGTATTTTATCGCTAATTTATCAAGATGGTTGGTATTCTTAACATGGCCTCAAAAAAGAATTATCCCCAAGTTTTCAGTCAGTCTGACGTCTCCAAGGAAGAAAGAAAAACACCCCTGTGTCCCACCCATTTTCCTTCGGCACATATTCCTGATAACATACATTTATTATCGCCGGCAAAAGTTGTTTTGTCGAAAAGAATTTAGTTAGCGAGACTGCTTGTGTGGGATTTTAATTTTCCATATCTAACTAAGGCTCTGTAGCTACACCTGTGTTTTGTCAATTATCAAAATTAACGTTTTCAAGTGGACTTTCTTTGGCTAATATTTCTTGATAACACAGTTCCATTCGCGCAGGCCAAGTAGGAAAATCGGTCAACGATTACTCGTAGGTGGCCTTTAATTTTCATATCTGTCCAAAGTCTTTTTTAGTCACCTGTTTCTTTTCGTCACTTATCGAAATAACATTTCCACTTGAATTTTTCCCTTCGCCGGTGGTCTGTGTTGATAATAAGATGCCTTCCCGTACCAATAGTTTGTTTTCATATCCTTAGATAACACTTCCCTACCCACTCAAATCTCATTGTCATTGTAATGACACTCTTTCGCCATTTGCCACTTATCAAATTAACCCTTTTTTTATTGCGTCTTAGCCGTGTGTGTGTTCGCTTATCACCTATGATTCGGATCTCGCCTCACTTTTCCCTTCCTTTCTTCTTTTCTTTCTTTTCCCTTTCTGCCTTTCTTTCTCTGCCTGGATGCATGGTGCCACACTAGTTACAAGAGCAGTGGTATTTTTTAGGGCAACATAGTCTGGCGAAGCTTATTCCTCTTGTTTTGGTAGCAGAACTTTGCTTCTCGCATTGCTACTGAAAGCCAAGAAAACCCATTTCCTGTTATTTAACCCATATATAGCGGAGAAGAGATTATTCACAACTTTCCAAAGAGTATTTCTACGAAAGTGAATGAAATTTTAACTGTGCTAGGCAATTGTAAATTTTCATCATTGTAACGAGGGTTGGAAAACAGCTTTATCGAAGTATATGCATCTAATGCCCGGTTTTGCATGTAGACACCACAAATGAATATATAAGAATATCATTATAAAAACTTGTAAAAACACTAAATTATCGCTTCAAGTCTCTTCATCTGTGCGGAAATTGTCCAGCATTTACTGCCATATAGGAGATTAGATATTACATAGTCGTCCAACACTCTTTTCTTTGTTTCTAAGGACACTCGTCAGTAGAACCACATCTCTGTCGCTTCAAGTCTCTTCTTCATCTGTGAGGAGATTGTCCAGCATTCACTGCCATATAGGAGATTAGATATTACATAGCCGTCCAACACTCTTTCCTTTGTTTCTAAGGACACTCGTCAGTAGAACATTATTTCGATCGCTTCTAGTCTCTTTTTCCTCTGAGGAGATTGTCTAGCATTCATTGCCATATTTTGTTTGGGGATTCACTATTTTCCCATAACTAGTACAGGTGCTACCACTCCTGGTCGCAGTTGATCTCGGAACAACATCAATTAAACGGTCGTTCCACGCTTCTCACAACCTCCAATTTCCCGATCAATGGTCTTGCTGCCGGATTTAGTTTATTCTCATACCCAGGACTTGATTTCGGTCATCAGGAATCACATACGACACTTGTATCTTGCTTGATCATTCTGCTTTCTTTTCCTAGATGAATTAATGCATATTTTCCCAGAAGTAGTTGCAGTCCTATGTTGAGATGAGATTGATAACCATTTGCACATAATAGAAGAATGTTCGTTTTATTAATAAATTGTGATGACTTTTAAACATTCTAAATCAAGGGGTCACAATATTTTTGCGTCATCCACCTGTATATTAAATATTCAAAAGCATACTAAACCCTACCTGCTTCCCATTAGTGTGTCTTATGCTCAACTCAACAAGAGCGCCTCCCTGAGCCTGCTTGGTCTCATGCTGTCCGCTGACCTAACATGGAACAAATACATTGAATCAATAGCTTCATCTTCCGCAAAGAAAGTTAGTTCTCTGTGTCGCGCCAGAAAGTTTTTCACGCCTGAGTCCATCCTTGAAATCTATCAGTCAACCATTCGTGTTTGCATGGAATACTGCTGCCATATATGGTCTGGTGCCCCTCCGGTTCGCCTTAAGGTCCTCGACAAAATTCAGAGACGGATATGCATTGTGGTTGGTCCTTGTCTAGCATCTCGCCTACAGTCACTCTCTCACAGACGTGACGTCGCCTCCCTACAAAGACTTTCACGGTAACTGCCCCAGCGAGCTATTTTCGCTGGTTCCCAGACTGCATGAATTTAAACGTACGACAATTCCGGCATCTCAGTCCCACCCTTTCACTTTCACGGTTAAATGTAGCCGTCTCTTCTACTCCAATAGCTTCATGTCTCGCACTTTCTGTCTGCGGAACTCCCTTCCTCTTATTTGCTACCCTGATAGCTATAACCCCCCACATATTCAAATGCAATGTCAATCGACATATCCAGATGCCTTGATCTGGTCTCAGTTCTTCTCTTCATCCTTTCCTCTTTCACGTCTATTTACTCTTGCTCCTACTCTCTGTAATCCCTTGCATGCTAGTGGCACTCACGTTAAAAATATGTTGTTATTAGTGAAAGTACTAGCAAAATAAAAAAAAGACCTTATACAACTTGAAGTTATTAAAAAAAAGGATCATAACATTCATCTAGAAGTTCGTGGGTTAGTGTAACTTTAAAAAAATTGTTTGCGAACATGTTATTCGCAATTTATATCATTAACTTTACTAATCTACTTTTTGTATGGATGATTCATGTAATATAAATTGAACTACACCACATATTTGATTTAAAAAGAACTGATCCGACGTGCAAATTTTCGGGGTAACAGCAGCGACATTACTCTATTTATTGAACAATTTACTTCATACCATATTGACTAAAAAAAATTCCTACAATAAAAGAAATTCTCAAATTACCATATTAGCAAAAAACACATACTCTTAAATTTTCAAAAAAAAAAAAAAAAAAAAAAAAAACACAAGGATCATGACATTCATCTCGAGGTTCGTGGGTTAGTGTAACTTTAAAAAATTTGTTTGCGAAGATGTTTTTCGCAATTTATATCATTAACTTTACTAATCTACTTTTTGTATGAAAGTGAAAAGTTGGGGGTCGCACGATACGCGAGATAGCGCGTTACCCGAGTAAATACGGCATGTCTTATCTATGTGACCTAATTATTCGCCATCATCTTCCT